GTTGGTTGGTAATTCAATTAGAGAAAAACGGTACTTCAATAATTGGTACATTATTATAGATAGAGAATTATGGACACGAGCCACAAGGTTAAATTGATTTTAATATTTATTAAATATTGTAGAGTTTACATATTTTGTTTGATGCCTATTTATTGCATTTGACATATAATTTATGATTCATAACTTGGCCAATAAACCTTTTTCAATATCCATAAAATCATAAAACCATATTATATTTATGTATTTATCTATCATATAGGTAAGCAGCTGATTCGTGAAGAMAYGTCCAAGGAACAGAAAAACGTGTGTTTGAAAAATATACATTTCAGTCATAACGTAGAACGATTGGTTGCAGTCATAATATTTCGAAACTTTTTCAAAATAAATCAGTGAACGAATACAAATAATGAAGTGGAATAAAATACATGTTGTAATGTATGTATTGTAAAACGTATAAGTATTAAATGTAATTATTTTATTATTATCACTGGGAAAGTTACAAACAATTTACAGTAAAAGCTCTGCGTGGAATTTTTTTAAAACTATTTTTACAGCTATTATAGGTAGGAACTAATTTGGATTTAATCAAAACGTAAGGAACATAATAATATACTATATAGTAACAGCTATTTTAGAAATTGTATACACAATAAATGTTGATTACTTTGAAGAGTATTGTTTAAAAACTGCAGTAAAGATGTTTATTTCACTTTACCCGTGATGGTRCTACAGAATTGCGATGGCGTCCATTAAATTGTTTTACACAGCATTCGATTTATTCCATTTCCAATTTTATATTTATACTAAATCATAAGATATTGTGGGTTGTATTGTTATTATTTATTAAACATTTGGTTTTGATGCAATAATAAATTACAAATTCGAAAACCGTACCTATTTAAGTGGATCTTTCTCGGTTTATTTTGAAATTTATTATGTAAGAGAATTAAATAAACTAAAATAGGTAGTTTTTAAAATTTTCAACGCTTCTTAAAAAAATTATCAATTATGGTTTTTTCTTTCATTATTATTATAAATACTTACCATATGAATAACATTGAATAAAATGTTTGCTTAAACTATACTATAGGTACCTGCCTATTAAAAA